CATTTCTATCAGAAAGGAAGTAAATTTTGCCAAATGTCAATATAATAGAGTAATGTTAATCCACGTCATAAACAAATCAAAAGCAAAACATAAGAGCATCTCCAATCCTTGGCTGTTGACATTAAAAAATTTATGACACATGCCAATAGATGTATGGAGTGTCTAACCACATAGGATGAGTGTTAAAACCCAAAATTTGAAATCCTCAAAAGCCTCCCCAACGCATCACGTCGAGGTCATGCTGTTTTGTACAGCTGGAATTTAATTAATTCAAGTTTAAGCCTTCCGTAACCAATCTGCCTGTATAACTGGCTTTTGAGAATGGGAAAGTGGGTTTGAAAGTGTTGACATTCAATTTTGACAACTCAGCATCATTTGTGCGAATTAGGGGTGCAAACGAGCCGAGCCGAGCCCGAGTTTATGTAGGCTCGAGCTCGAGCTCGATTATGTTGTATTGGCTCGAGCTTGAGCTCGGCTCGAACGAGCTTAAAAAATTCGGGCTCGAGCTCGACTCGCAAATATTAACCTGGCTCGATTAGGCTCGAAAAGGCTCGATAAGGCTCGACAATTTTGATTCGTTCAAAAGTTACAAGTTCAATTAGCTCGAAAGTTCGGGTTCGAACTCGAGCTCAAGTATGAAACAATCTTTAAATATTTGTGCTTAACATTTGCAAATTGCAATTTACATGCCCAACAACAAAAACTTACGGGAAAATAAACAACATATAATCCTAACTTCAAGTCCCCACCGAGTTGTACTTCTAATATAAATCAAAGTGGCCAAACCATGAAGAAATAGTGGATGAAACGTTGATTATTTTTGTTAAATTACTTTATCATTAATAATATCTCCCGGGTCCTCATATACATCTAGGAATCGGTATTATATATACACACACACACACACACATATATATATATGTATATGTATATATATATATATATATATATATATATATATATTAATATATATATTAATTTATATTGTATATTAATATAAATATACACATATATAAAAATAAAAAAAATACACATATATAAAACTAGGCTCGCGAGCCGGCTCGCGAGCCAACGAGCCTAAAATTAATAGGCTCATTTATGGCTCGACTGCTTAACGAGCCGGCTCGAGCTCGGCTCGAACTCGAGTTTGACCGATCTCGAGTCGAGCTTTGACCGAGCGGCTCACGAGCGGCTCGGCTCATTTGCACCCCTAGTGCGAATAAAGAGAGCATTGAAGCAATTTTTTTTGACACACTTTCAAAGCAAATTACGTGGCTCCATTTTTTACTGTTAAAAGCATTCCATTAGAGATGCTCTAAAAGACTTCCAATTCATAATGTTAACAACTTCAGATTAAACCACACGTCACTTATGTATTGCTAAATAAAATAGAACATACTGCCTAAAAGCTGTAAACGAAATTGGAGGAATAAAATGAAACAAAACATGATTAATAAAGTAATTAAAAGAAAATAGTTGCAGTCAATTTATTATACCGCAATAATGCATAAAACGGAGAGAAATATTGGTCAAAATAAAAAATTTATGCCAAAGTAAAATACACAAAGTAGAAAATCGAAATTCAGATTTTATGTATGTATATATATACTCATATATATATATATATATATATATATATATATATATATATATATATATATCAAAGTCTTCTTAATTTACAAAGTACAAACTCATCTTGACCGTCCGATGAGTTGATCCAAAGGACATAAAGGCAAGGTGGCATTTTTGTAATAAAACTCAACTTTTTAGGGTGCAACTCGTTGCACCTTAATGTGCAACTGCTATTTTTATGACTTTATAATGTGCAATACTTTGAACCTCAATATGCAATGCAAATAACGTCAAGGTGCATCGTACAAATATTTGCACAATAAGCACACTTTGTACTTGATCTTTCCCCTATATATATATATATATATATATATATATATATATATATATATATATATATATATATATATATATATATTTATTTATGTATGCATTACGTTATTCTTGGGAACCATTTTGTCTCCACTAGCCTATGGGTGTAACCGTATGAAAGTAATGATGCCGGCAAAATAGTAAATGTTGCTTCATTTTTGATGACTCAGCATGTTGAACTTGCTTTCTAGAATTCGAAATTGGATTTAACCGCGTCCATTCCACATAGACTTAACTGGACACATAAAAGAAAACATCTATTTATATACGGAGTATATAATATATAATCTATTTATATATAAGAAAAGAGATAGCTCATATAAATACCATTTTATCCTTAATGAAATCTATGTATCATTCTCCCCACAATTCACTTCTCTACTCTACAAATGACACATGGCAAATCTATTTATATTTATATATAAGAAAAGAGATAGCTCTTTCCAAAAAAAAAAAAGAGATAGCTCATATAAATACCATTTTATCCTTAATGAAATCTATGTGTCATTCTCCCCACAATTCACTTCTCTACTCTACAAATGACACATGGCAAATTGAAGGATAATATCGACCAACCAAATTCAAAGGAAGAGAAGCATTTATTTATATATCATTATACCAACAAAAGAAACGTACTTAGTAGCAATTTATGGGCCATTTAAATAAAAAACACCATTTTCTTTAAAGTGTTTTAACATTTTCATCTTTTATCTAATATTTTTAAAAAGTATATCAAAATTCATATTTTTTTTACGATCTTTCATATAACACCAATATTGCATATCTAAAATTCTAAAAAATTCTGAAGATTCTTTAAACAACCTTCTTCTTTTCCAACATCGATACGGATTATTCCTTAAATAAATAAATAATTTATAATATATGAACAAAATAAAGATAATGGATATAACATATGACCTAATAATTTTTAGTGACTATATTTGTGTTTAACATTATATCCGCGTGACTATAAGCTAAGGAAAACGTCTCAAAATAAATATTCGTGGACAAAAAGTCACTAAATTTGCTACGAGTACACTTTTATAGTTGCAACATGGAAATTTTTTATCATTCACACATTCTACTTTAACTATATTTTGTTTTTTTATGTATGAGAATTATATTTTTTGAAAGCTATTGTTAATTCGTCTCATTACAAATTTATATAATTTATTTGATTTTATATAGTTTTCACTAATAGAGAATTAAATACAATGTCGATCAAAGTTTTACATTGGCAACATGAAAATAGGAATGTTGCAAATAAAAAAGAATGGAGGAAGTAAAATAAACCATAACTATAATTACCAAAAGCTAATAACTCACATTTTCCCACTATCCTTATTTTTAAAATCAGAGTATAAATTGAAAAAGTTATATCAATTCAAAAATAGATGTTTTTGAAGTGTTAAATAGTATTATATATATATATGTATGTATGTATATGTATATATGAAATATTGGTTTCATATGAAAGATAACAAAAAGTTATTATTTTGATATATTTTTTGCAGCAATCAAAGTACAAATGAGAATATTGCAACACTCTAAAAAAATGTTTTTAGAGTGTATTTGCATTGTAATAATCCTGGAAAATAACAATTTATTATTTACTTTTAATTTTTGAAAAAGAACGTCGCAATGTTAAGAATAATGTCAATGCTATCAAATGTTGTATCACTTTATTGGTAAAAATGTGAAAATTCACCTATGAATATCACCAGGGAAATGATATCATTAGAGAATCATATCACCCTTGAATGAATGAAGGAAAGTTTTGTTGAGAAATGTCAATATTGTTAAAAAATTAGTATTATTATTGGTAAACTGTGAAAAGTTACATTTGAGTGTCATTTCAACTTGACATGAATTCAATCAAACTTATTGATTTTTTGCCATTTGATCAATTTAATGAGCTTATTTGTTTTGGTTATTAGTATTAACTATTTATATAAACTTTTATATATTAAATTTTGATGAATATAGACAAATTAACATCCTTAACAACACAAATCTAACATTTATGATTAAAGACATTATTATTAATAAAGTTATTTATATTCAATCCAAATTTTGACACATTTGTGGAAGATGTGGGAGAGTTTTCTCTCTCATATGTAGTGCGTTTAGCCATAAGATAATCCAACTAACAATTGAGCGAAATAACTTTCTCTCTCATATGTAGTGTTTTAAGTATAAGATAGGTCGGTTAGCATGCAATTGAGTATAAGATAAGCTGGCTGAAATTTGAGTGGGAATTTTTTTATCTTATATGTAATGCTTTTAGCTATAAAATTTTAGGTATGAGAAGATTAGGCCATAATTAAGGAGGCTAACAATTGAGCGAAAGAATGTTCTCTATCATATATGATGCATTAGGTATAAAATAAGTCGCCTAACAATTGAGCAGGAGAACTTTATGTCTCATATGTAGTGCTTTTAGGTATTAGAAGATAAATGTGCTAACAATTGCGCGGAAGAACTTTCTCTCTCATATGTAGTTATTTTAAGTATAAAATAAGTCAACTAACAAGTGAGAGAAAATATTTTCTCTCTCATATGTCGTGCTTTTAAGTATAAGGTAAGCCAGCTAACAATTGAGTGATAGAACTTTCTCTCTCATATGTAGTGGTTTTATGTATAAGAAGATAAACTTGCTAATAATTACGCGGGAGAATTGAACAACAATTTTCTCTCATATGTAGTGCCTTTGGAGAGTGTGATTGAAATACAGGAGATTTGTAGAAGTGACTACAACATTTGTTTCCACTTTCCATAAGAATAATAGCTTAGTAACATATTTGAGTCATATCTCCTCCTTTTCACTTTGATCTGCACAAAAATCTCAATTGAGCCAAGCAAATTTAGCTACAACTAATCTTTCAAATTTTCATTGCATAGATGTGTTTTTAGGAATGAAGGAATACATTTGAATGCATTACATAGAGTTGCAATGGTGCACACAATTAGAAAATTTTCTTTTAGGCTATTCAGTTGACCCTTTAGAATAAAACACTCCATAACAGAATTCAGCCTAAGAACAATAGAAGGAGAGAGGATACCTCATATGTCAAGAAATTCCGACACTTTATTCGTATGATTGATAAGCAAAGTATATATTCCTTCGTTTTCTTTGTAAGTCCTTATTTTCGTTTTTGATGGTTCGTTATGATTATTTCATTTTAAAAAGGAGCTTTAATTCCATATGCAGATTCAACAAATTTAAATCTTGAATGGCCGGATAAAGACGAAGACCGTGTCTCTGTTGGCTAAGATCGAAGGGTGAAGGGTCTTGTTCGGCTAAAGAGGAAGTGAGGAGGTAAACGGTGATGGCGTTGGAATATTAACGGAGAGAAACGGACCGTAAGGAGATAAAGCCAAATGAAGTTGAAAGGTTACAAGTATCAAAACATAATGTACATGAGAACCAAGGTTAGAATACCACCAACAAATTTTTTATGCCTATAATACCCAAACCCTCATTCATGCTTATTATATTGTAGAGATTAGACGATATATAAGCTTGCTAACATTTGTCATCTAACAATTAAGCGGAAGAATTTTCTCTCTCATATGTAGTGCTTTTAAATATAGGAAAGATTAAGTCATAAGTTGTGTAACAATTGAGCGAGAGATTTTTCTCCCTCATAAGTAGTGCGTTTAGGTATATAAAATAATCCAGCTAATAATTGAGAGAGAGAATTTTATCTATCATATATAGTGCTTTTACGTATAAGATAAGTCGGCTGACAATTGAGCGGGAGAATTTTCTCTCACATATGTAGTTTTTTAGGTATAAGGAGATAAGCTTGCTAACAAGCTAACGCAATAATTTTCTCTATCATATATAGTTATTTTAGGTATACGGTAAGCCGGCTAACAATTGAGGGGAATAATTCCCTCTCTCATATGTAGTGCTTTTAGGTATAGCATAATCCGGCTAATGGTTGAATGAGAGGACCTTCTCTCTTATATTTAAGGGTTTTAAGTATAAATAAAAGATAAGTTTGCTAAAAATTGAACGGGAGAACTTTGTCTCTCATATGTAGGTCTTTTTAAGTATATACGATAATCTAGCTAACAATGAGGGGGGGGGGGGGGGGGGGGTTCTCTCCCATATGTAGTGCTTTTAGATATAATTTATAAACCAGCTAACATTTGAATATGAAAATTTTCTCTCTCATATATACTAATTTTAGATATAGCAAGATAAGTTTGCTAATAATTTAGCTGGGGGGTTTTCTCTCATATGAAGTGTTATTAGGTATATTACACGATAAACTTTCTAACAATTGAGCGGAGAAATTCTCATATATCTAAGTTCTTATAAGTATAAGATAAACCGGCTAACAACTAAGCAGTGTAATTTTTTTCATACATAGTGCTTTTAGGTATAAGTTAATCCGGGTAACAACTGAGTGGGAGAATTTTCTCTCATATGTAGTTCGTTTTTATATAAGATAAGCCGACTAAGAACTGAACAAGATAATTTTCTCTCTCATATGCTAGCACTAATTTAACTAATGGGTAGCAAGTTCTTATTTAACTGATACATAGTATTCGTTAATTTTTACATTTATTCTATTCACTTTTTTAGAATAGTATTGATTTTTAAAAATTAATTTAATCATGATTTTTTTTGGATGAAAGCGGCTTACATATTAATCAAACTATTTGGAGAGTAGGCAAAATGACAAAATAACTTGAGAGAACCGCCGTCCCGCGAACCAGAGTCGGAGTTAATCACCTCAGTAATATAACTTGCTGATCCAAAATTGGGCAAAACTGAGCCAATGACGGTAATCACAGTTAAATCATCACCCACATCCAAATTCATAATCATCGTTTTACAACTAGAAAGCAAGCAAAAAACCAAGAAGAAAATAAAAAAACAGTCTGAAGCGAAAAGAAAAATGCATAAAAACATAAAATGCCCGGATCTACTAATCCGAAGAATGCAGCACCAATCAAAACCCTCTTGCCTCTTTCCTGCCCATGACAAGCTTACCCCTTTAAGCCCGTTTCCTCTCCATTTTGTTGATCTGTCCAGAGCCATCTCGTCCCCTCCTTGGTTTTGAGTTGACCCTATCTCCCAGATACGCCTACGTTTCTCTCCAGAAGGTTCTTCATTATGTTTCAGAACCACTTCCTTATTAGAGCCACTTCCCGAGCCCACCAAATCCTCTTTATCTCCTTCAGCTCTTCCAACCGACCCTTGTTCCTCCCATCCCTGCGAATTCCTGCCCGAAGACGAGCCCTCCCCAATCAACCATTTATTTTTTCCTGTAGGGCTGGTCTTCACCCCACCTCCTGCCCTTAGAGACGCATCAAATATTGTTGGAAAAAGTGTGTTAAATTGCATTAAATGGTCATTTTGGGGAAATTTTTTGAGCGGGGTCCACTTCCGATTTGGGTCGGGTCAAAGTGGTTTCGGATTGTCCTTGCTTAGGGCTACAATTCGATATATGGTACGCTCAAAACGGATAACGGGTGAATGAGAAATCGCTTTTCGAAGTTTACCCGTTGGAATGGAGAAAACTAGGAAAAGGTGAGTTTTTGGTATGGTTTTTTCCCACACCGAAAATCACTAGGGATTTGCAACCCTTTATAAGGGAAAACCCCCCCTAAGGAGTTAAGATTCCTAAAGGGAAAGGCTCTCTCACGCGCGCAGGGGGGGTGCGGATCAAATCCCGAAACCGAAGAACAAAAAGCGCGACTTGCGTGTGCGGGCGACCTGCACACACGAATGCCGTCCGAAAATCCCATCTTCTAAAGATAACGTCAATTTTTGTTCTTCCGGTACGTTCCTATTTATTTTTGCTCCATGCTAGACTACAACGTTCATGAACGTTGCAGCATAAATTCCCAACGTTCATGGCCCTTAATGCAAACGTTTTGGACTGGTGGCATGTGTAGAATCAATGCCAGCATGCTGCCTTGAAGTCCCAACGTTCATATGAACGTTTTGGACTGTTTTTGGCTGGAATCAATGTCCCAAACGTTGGGCATTGATGTCCAACGTTCATGTGCCTTAAACAGTCATTAACACATGCAAATCCACCCCTATAAAAGGCTGGTTGATCCTTTGCAAAAGACACACAAGTCACAAACGTGCTGCACTTCATTTTAGCTCACAAAACTCTCCCAGCCTTCTCTTAAAAATTCCTATTGTGTTCTTGCTTCGTTCACGTTCGTTGGGACTTTCGTTTGAGTGCTCAAACGTTTGTTCGTAGTCATCGTATCCTGGGAAACGATTCTTGCAACGCTCCTAGCACCCCGGGAGGCAACAAATACGTTTTAAGGAAATCGTGCGTAGCACGAGCTTTGGCTTATTCTGCTTCGTCTCATTTCTTGTTTTCGTTTTGTCATTTTATTTAATTAATTTTTATTAATTAATTTTCTTCGTTTTTCGAAACACACCCAACAAACTTAAAACGTATTCGGTGATTGTTCTACTACGGTAAACAATCTTACACTTGTAGTTTGTCACCTTGGTGAACGAACTTGTTTTTGTGTTTCCGAAAAACGTAAGAAACGAAAGAAATGACTTCTCAAGAAAATGAAAATGTTGTTGGGCAGAATGCTTTGAACGGTTTGAACGATAATCACTCTGAAAGCGGAGCTCCGGTGAACAATAGTTCACAACGCGGTGCATCTGCTTTGGTTAACCAAAGGGCTATCCCTATGGTGACCGTGCCGAGCAACTCTGTGGAGAAACCCGAAAAATTTAACGGGTTGAACTTCAAGAGGTGGCAGCAAAAGATGCTCTTTTACCTCACTACTCTCGGCTTGGCAAGGTTCTTGACCGAGGACGCTCCGGTTGTAACCGGGGGTGAGGTGGATGTGCAATCTTTCAACGCGGTTGAAGCTTGGAAGCATTCTGACTTCCTATGCCGAAACTACGTGTTGAACGGGCTGCATGATGCTTTGTACGACGTGTATAGCAAATTAGCTACGGCTAAGGAGCTATGGAATGCTTTGGACCACAAATATAAGAGCGAGGATGCCGGTGCAAAGAAATTTGTTGTCGGTCGATTCCTTGATTTTAAAATGGTGGATTCGAAGACGGTCTTGAGTCAAGTTGAAGAAATGCAAATGATATTCAACGAAATTCGAGATGAAGGAATGACGGTTAGCGAGTCGTTCCAAGTGGCGTCAATTATACATTTGTTGCCGCCGGCTTGGAAGGATTTCAAAAACTACCTTAAGCATAAGCGAAAGGAAATGAACTTGGAACAATTGATCCTCCGTCTTCGGATTGAAGAGGATAACCGAAAGAACGATGGGAAACTCCCAATTGTTCATGGCGCCAAGGCCAACGTGGTGGAGCATGCAAAAGGCTCCAAAAATAAAGGCAATGGGAAGAGCAAGCTCGGTCCCAAAGGAGGCGTTTCCAAACCCAAATTTAATGGAAAATGCTTCAATTGCAACAAAAATGGACACAAGTCCTCGGATTGCAAGGCACCAAGGAAGAAGAAAGACTCTCAAGTCAACATGGTGCAAGGTGGGCAAAAGGATGAAGACATCATTCTTGCGGCCGTGGTGACCGAGGTCAACCTCGTTGGATCCAATTCCAAGGAGTGGTTCGTGGACACCGGTGCAACCCGGCACATTTGCTCTAACCGGGAGTTATTCACAACTTTTGAGCCATCAAACGGTGAGAAGGTGTGGATGGGAAATTCTGCTCACTCCGAGGTGGAAGGCGTGGGCAAGGTGGTCCTGAAGATGACTTCGGGCAAGGAGCTGACTCTCAACAATGTGTTGTATGTCCCGGAGATACGCAAAAACCTGATCTCGGGCTCTTTGTTGAACAAGCATGGCTTCCGCATGGTCTTTGAGTCGGACAAACTAGTTTTGTCTAAATCGGGAATGTATGTGGGGAAGGGGTATGCAGTTGATGGGCTGTTTAAGCTCAATGTAATGACTATTATTATTAATAATAATAAAATCTCTTCTGCTTACTTGCTTGAGTCTTCCAATGTGTGGCATGGTAGACTAGGACATGTTAATTTTAATTCTATACGTAGATTAATTAACATGGAACACATTCCTAAATTCACAATTGATGTGAAGCACAAATGTGATATTTGTGTTGAGGCAAAACTAACGAAAACGTCTTTCAAATCGGTTGAAAGAAAAACGGAACCACTAGAATTAATTCATAGTGACGTTTGTGATTTTAAATCAATACAAACACGTGGTGGTAATAAATATTTTATTACTTTTATCGATGATAGCACTCGCTATAGCTATGTTTATTTGTTGAAAAATAAACACGAAGCAATCGATAAATTCATTCTTTATAAGAATGAAGTGGAAAACCAACTTAATCGACGGATTAAAACGGTTAGGAGTGATCGAGGTGGCGAGTATGAAGCACCAATTGGTGACTTTTGCTCTAGTGTGGGTATAGTACATGAACGTACCGCACC